CCTTATTTACATAAATATATATATAACATTTCAATATTTTATTTAAAATCTACCTAATATTTTCACCTATACTTTATGCACATAAATTTATGTTATCTGAATATTCAGATAATTGCTTAACAGTTGAGATGTTTATCCCTCCTAGATTTTATCGATTTATAAATGAGGGATATTATCCGAATTTATTTGATAAAGTAAGGGATATAATTATAATTATAATTAATATTTATAAATATTATTATTATTATCGTAATTTTTATTATTATAATATAATAAATTAAATTGATTATTTTAATACTTATTAGAAATGTCGCCGTATTCGATTCAATCGCGCATCTTTATCAAAGACAGCATCCAATTTAACATTTTTACATACCTCAAATATTATAATAATGTTAACCCCTTCCGACGAAATTTTGATAGATACATTGTTTACTGATTCGATTACTGATGTTTCATCAACCGATATTAAGAATGGAAGGGGGTATCAGTTTTGGACAAGGGTGTGTGTACTATGTTAATCTATATTTTAATTTAATAATAATAATGTATGGATTAACATCAATGATAATATTTAATGATTAAAAAAAAATTTTTTAATTTTTAAAAATAAAGGTAGTACATATTGGAGTTAAGGAACCTGCAGATTTGCCAGGTTTTTGTAATAAAATATGTGTTTACATTCGTGACATGTCAAGTTCACAATGTGCAACCTTGGTTTTATTGGATGATAAAATACGTATGACTACATTGTTCAAAACGGTAAGGGTTTCTCATATCAAATGTTATTTAAATTCATCATATTAATAACGATAAATTTTTTAATAGGGAGATTTTTTGGGAATACATTTGCCGTATATTGGAACTGAAGATAAAAGTCATGATGGGACGATTCTTCATTATGGAGATCTAACTGTTTTATTTTGTCTACCAATGGGTGATCTTTGTAAGGTATGTAATGATTGGCGGAATTTATATTTTCAAAGAAAATTCAATATAAATTTTTTTTTTTTTTTTGCTTTTCCAAAAGGAGGAAAGTCCTAAATTTAAGCATTTCACAAAAAGCAAATTTAATTATCGAGAAAATTTGGTTAGTGCTTTTCTGAAGAACCTCGGTTTAATTAAAAAAAAAAAGTTTTTTTTTTTTTTCTTAATTATTTGTTTCTATTTTTAGT